AGAGAAGAAAAATCAGGGCAGTCAATGCTCAGTCGCTCAATCACATCCAACTCTTTGCGACCCCATGGACTATGGCCCACCAGGCTCTTCTGTCCATGGGATTTTCCAGGAAAGAATACTGGAGTGGGTTACCATTTCCTCCTCCAGGGGGTATTCCTGACCCAAAGATCAAACCTACATCTCCTCTGCCTCCTATACTGCAGGCCAAGCAGAGAGCTCCTTCATTTCAGGAAGGAGGAAGGAGTTTCAAGAAGTTCACAATGTCAACATAAAAGAACTTAAGCATGAAGAGAATGAAAAGTACCTAGATTAAGCAATGGACCCTGATGATGTAAAAGAGGTGTGGGAAGAATGTAAATCAGATAAAGGATATTATTAAGTTCAAAGGAAACAAACAAGTGACAAGTAATCTCGCTGGGGCGAGAGAGGAAGAAAAAACTGAAACATAAAGTGAAAGACTGAAATATTGCTTTTAAATGTGAAACAAAAGTACATGACTGCACCTAAAAGTCACATCTCACCCAGAACCTGTACTCTTGGCTAAGGCAGCCAGCCATGGGTCTGAGTGTCCCTGCATATTTTTACTGAGTGTGACAGTCTGCAAAGCTTGTCCATTTCATGATACTGCAAGGATTCTTATAATAAGTCACACAGGCAACAAAGAAGGTCAAGGTGACCACAGCTGACAACTGCCTCTCAGGGAGAGGTAAACTAGCTTGTTTGTTGTTTGCTATCATGCCTGCAGTTTGCTTTAAAAAAAAAAAAAAAAAAAGTGCTGGCCCCTTGGTCCTGAGTTCCTTAGCTGTGATCCACTATGTGTATCCATCTAGACCCATCATCCTCACGGGACCTGGTTACAAGGAAAGACAGCACAAACAAGCTGACGTTCATGAGTCTGCAGTGCTGTGAGTAATAACGTCACTTGTTTCTGACCTGGGAGTCTCCTGTTTGTCTGCCAGCAACCATGAAACATTAACAGACTAAGTGTCAGCTTGTAAATATGGTAAAATCAAATCTTAAGATTTTTCAGAATTCTTGACATGAATGACAAAGAGCTAGTTGATTTTCATATTGCTAAATAAGAGACAAAAACAGACACCAGCAAAAACTGCAATTTATGTAACATTTTATAGTTTATCTTAGTTTGCTTCTATTATTCATAATATTTATTATATATCCGTCTCTACACTATATTTTATATATGTATTACATTATATAATTCTCATAATAATCCTAGTGAGGTAGGTACTAATATGAGGAAACTGAGGCTTCAAGATGCTAGATAACTAAACCAAGGTCTCACAAATTGTAATCAACACAACCTAAATATAGGCTCTGATGACTTTAAAAGATGTGAGGGCTTTGTTTAATCATTAATAGTCAACCTCCTTCCCAGCTGACTTATCAAGAGCAACTCTAATTCAGCATATGTTAGAGCAAAGCATCTATATCATCATAGGACGAATACTGTATTCTTATAGAAAACTAACGTTTCGGATATGTTAATAGAATCAAAGTTGTCTCTAAAAATCTGTGGTTTAGAAAGAGCCAGGTTAAACAAATCCAAACCACTGTCTTTAGGGCAGAAGCTCTCACAGTTTCAATATGCAAATATATGTTCTTCCAGGTGGCGCTAATGGTAAAGAACCTGCCTGCCAAAGCAGGAGATTTAAGAGGCCTGGGTTTGATCCCTGGGTCGGGGAAGATCCCAAGGAGAAGGGAATGGCAACCCACTCCAAAACCCTTGCCTGGAGAATGCCATGGACAGAGGAGCCTCACAGGCTACAGTCAACAGAGTCACAAAGAGTCAGACATGACTGAAGCGACTTAACACACACATATGCTAATATGTATTCTATTTCTTCTAAAACCATCTGTTATCTTCATTCTGAATGCTCCAGTTTGGAAAACTACTGCTGCAATCAACAGTGCCAATTTAACTTGTACACAGAATACCTTTGAAAACTTAGCAGTCACCTTGGTGGTTCAAGTACACAAGTCCTTCAAAATAGAGAACATCAAAGTCAGAACGTGGCAAAACAGCTCCAAGCCAAGTCAACTACTTCACAGTCTGGCAACGCTGCCCATTTCCTATCAAACAAAAGTCAGCTGCCCATAACACAATGGAACTACATGGCTTTTTCTGAAGTTAGAAGGGTAACAAGGCAAGGTTTTTATATGTGTAGCTCTGTACATTGTAAACACTGTTTTACTAAACAAAATTTAGACACTTTTAATGATGGAGCAGAGATCACAGAAAAAGTAGTTTTAACATAAAGCTTGTGAATTCATTAATGACACTAAGTCACTCTGATGGTCCTAGGCATCACCATTAACTCATCTGTCCATGGGATTCTCCAAGCAAGAATATTGAAGTGGGTAGCCATTCCCTTTTCCGGGGGATCTTTCTGACCCAAGGATGGAATCTGGGTCTCCCAAATAGCATGCAGATTCTTTACCACCTGAGCCACCAGGGAAGCCCCAACTTACCAAAAACTAAACTTGAAAACTAAATTTTAACTCTATGAATAAGTGGAAAATTAACATCATATATACGATTTCGCCGCCAAGCATATTTTCCTGTCTTCTACTTAGTCATCTCTAAACATTCGACAACTGAAACTGCTCATTGCTCTGTTGTTATTAATCATTCCAGAGTTTTCAAAAAAGCCAGCCGCACAACAGTTGCATTAATCATACAAGCCAGAGCTGTAGACTGATCCCTAGCTTACTGCCGACCGAATCGGCTGCCCTTTTTTTTTTCTTGCCCTCTGTTCTGAAGGAGTACCTCCACCCATTCAAAGTCTACATAGGACACATCTCTAATGGGGAGTGCAGGGTCAGGGGTGTGGGGAATATACCAAGATAAAGTTACTAATCAGGCCATTATTAACAAAACCAAGAGCTATTCTAGACAGATGAAATTACACAGGAACTGGAATTAAAATCTAAATGTAAACTGTACTAAGATTTTCAAACACTTCACCTTACAAGGAAAGTGATGTCCTACCTACTTGAATCAAGAAATATCTTTAGAAGGGCAGACTTTTGCCCTCTGCTCTCAAAGATTGCCTCCACCCATTCAAAGTGTATGTGGGGCACATATCCACCTAGAAAAAAAAAAGAAGGGCAACAAAATATCATACTGTCCACTATTTTGAAAGGAGTTGTAGAGAAAAACAAAGTATCTTAAAGGTCACAGAGCAATTTCCAACATTTTGGTTTTAGGAATTCTTAAAAATATACAATTAAACATAACTACTGAAAACAAATGTGGCTTTATAATAAATTACTTTAAAGCATAGATGTGTCAGTTAATAATGTTTTGAATAGGGATCTGTATATGAGAACATGGTTGATTCTTATAAGCAAAACCCCAAAGAGAAAGAATTCGAATCAGCTAACACTATTAAGGGAAACAATAAGAAAAGGAAAGAAAAGTGATTAGAGAAAAGAAATAAACACACTGGTAACAATATTCAATATTTTATTTTTACTAACATCTGCAAAAATAGGACTATGCCTTAAAAAAAGAAAACAAACCATCAAAAGTGTATACACTAACAACTTGAAAAATGTCTTCCCATACTGGCAGCAATATTTTCCAAACCATTCTGAAAATACTGATAAATTTTTACAGAATTCAGATCAATAACTTTATCATGGTATACCCCCCACACTCCTATCCCAACACCCCCATTTTACAGAATTCCAAATGAACACACATCATTTGGAGGTTTTACCAGATGTAAACCAGATGAAACTGACGCATCATGAGTTTTTATCTTAAAAAAAAACAAAAAACAAAAAACCCCAGCAAAACTACATACATTGGGATTTCAACTTTCAGTACCCTTCATATTTGTCAAAGTACAGTTATTAAAAGAAATTCTTAGTTCACAATAAGTCTCACTTGTGTAAATAGATTTGAAACATGAAATCTGCACTAACATATCTAGATTTGTAAATCTCACAAACGGTACTGTCAACTGTACCATCGGTGCTCCATAATTAACGTTTCTCTCCTTTCCCTCAGAAAATAGGCTTAACTAAATTACCACCTCAAAGTTTACAGAATAACATGCTACCTAGCTGCAAGGAAATAGTCAGCTATAGCTGAGTCCATTTTTAAACCGGGTTTACCTAGGATTCTCCAATGACAACATCGGAATTAGTATCAGAAGAAAAATATATATCAGGAAAACGGACACGGGAAACACAGAAGGGCACTTTTCACTCATTTCAACTTACAAAGGTTTAATACGCTTAAACTGGAAAACCTTGTACTTAAAATTAATTTTTCAAACACGATTAGCATTTTTAGCAAAACTTCCTGTTTCCCCTCCCACCAATTAAAAAAAAACACACACACAGGAAAAACAGAGTCGCTTTTCTAATAAAAACAGAAAAGGCCAAAATGACAAGGTTAACTAGGACTAAGAAATAACATCAGCCCCACGACTATTCTCTACGGTTGCGCAATTTTTAAACCCACACTTTTTTTTTTTTTTTAACCAAATCCAATCCCACCCCACATAGTACTTACCTCTCCCTCCTTCCCACCCACTCCATCTATGACAGCGATCACCTTCCCAGCAGGTATGTGAACTCATTTCCAGTATACAATCCACTGGAAAATCTCTGAAGTAACTGGGTCAGGGCATGACGAAATGATCGAGAAAGTGAGAAATAAAACAGATATAAGTTCTAAAAGGAGGGGCGGCGGGTGTCTAACAGCGGAAGGATGAGGACCTAAAAGACGACCTGGGTCTAGAAAGAAGGGTATCAAAGGACCCACGGGCAGGCTCCAATACGAGAGATGTGAAGTAAGCACGGTCCTCCCAGAAGAGCCAAAAACAAATTAGCCAACATGCCCCCCCCCGGCAATAACTGGTGGAAAGGGGCTCTGGCGTCCACGGGGGGAGAGGTTGGGGAGGGGGGGCGGACAATCCCGGGGTTCCGGGCGGCGCAGAAGGCCGGAGCTGAGGACAGAAACTCACCACCTGGTAGCGGCCAGCCCCCGCCTGGTGGTGATCCATCCTTCCCGGCTCGGGGTCCGGCTTCCGAGAGGGTGAGTCCCCTCGGCACTCAGCCCCCTCGGCCGCCCCCTTCAACGACGTCGTCGCCTCAGCGACTCTTCCGCCTGNCCCCTCGGCACTCAGCCCCCTCGGCCGCCCCCTTCAACGACGTCGTCGCCTCAGCGACTCTTCCGCCTGCGTTTCTGCGGCCGCGGTCGCCCGGCCGGGCCGCCTCACTTCCCGTCGCTGCCGCAGAAGCCGCGGAAACCTCCGCGTCGGCCGCAGCTGGGGGGCGAAGCTCCAGGGCGCCGCGCGCGCTACTGAGCATGCTCGGGATGGTCGCGCATGCTCGCTGGGACCTCCGGCGTCCCATCCGCGTCGCGAGTGGCAGGGGGCGGTTTCGCTGGGTGGGATGAAATGGAAAAGTCAGGCAAGTCCGAGGAAGCGATCTAGGTTGTCAGCCTGTCGGGAGTGGGAGGTGGCAAAAGGAGCGGAGAAAAAAAAAAAAATCACCGTCCTTGATTGGCCTTTTCAGTCCGACGGGTTGCGTGCAGGCAGTCACATTGTCGAGGAGAAAAGAGACGCATTCCAGGAACACCTGAGGACAGATCACCGTGTTTCCTCACACTTCGTCTTCTTATCCACCCAGCCTAGAACAATGCTGCTGCTGCTGCTGCTGCAAAGTTGCTTCAGTCGTGACCGACTCTGTGCGACCCCATAGAGGGCAGCCCACCAGGCTCCCCCGTCCCTGGGATTCTCCAGGCAAGAACACTGGAGTGGGCTGCCATTTCCTTCTCCAGTGCATGAAAGTGAAAGTGAAGTCGCTCAGTTGTACCCGCCTCTTAGCGACCCCAGGGACTGCAGCCCACCAGGCTCCTCCGTCCATGGGATCCTCCAGGCAAGAGTACTGGAGTGGGGTGCCATTGACTTCTCCGAGAACAATGCTAGGACACTTCTAAAAGACTTATTCAAAAACTGTTAGTGAGTTAAGGGATATTTTTTTAGGTTGTTTTGTTTGTCCCCCTCTTGCTAATAAGAGATTTAAGAGTCCAACAAGGAGTCTTCAGCCATACTCATGTATCTCGTGGAGGAACGGAGCCCCTGGAGCCCTAGGTTACTAAAAGGATACAAGAAGATAATGAAATAATATAGGACTCTTCTAGGGTCATATTCACATCAGTAATTCCAAAGGGTTTAACAGTAAGGGTTCGCTTTGTGTACAGGAAGACAATCTCAATAACCGGTTAACCACACTTGACCTACTGTGTATATGTCCCACCAGACACAAAGCATGTTCTCTAGCAAGTAAAAGAATGTGATGGGGCGGCGTACTCTTTAACCCAAAGAGTTTCTAAACACTGAAAACTATGATCCCACATGATCTGGCTCAGTTGTCTTTTCTATTCACTTCCCTCCTGAATCCCTAAAGGAGATTCCCTGCAATGAAGAAGGCTACTGGATGCGCCTCATCATCTAGTTAAAAACAGCAAAAATACAATAAGGAGAGACGTTCATTGAGAGAGCAACTAAAAAATGTAAGCTTTCCCCGTTGTTTTATTCAAAGCATTGATCAGTTCTTGGTATTTCTGCCATCTTGACACATCCAGTGGTGGAAAGTATTAATAGGCTGATACTATAAGAGGCAACGATATTGTCATACTTAAATATCTTTAATCTTTCTTTGGGCTTAGTTGCTCAGTCTCTGAGTCCTGTCCCACTTATTGTGATCCCATGGACTTTACCCCGCTGCGCTCCTGTCCATGGAATTTCCCAGGTAAGAATACTGGAGTGGGTAACCACTTCATCCTCCAGGATATCTTCCCTACCCAGGGATTGATCCCAAGTTTCCCACATTGAAGCGGATTCTTTACCATCTGAGCCACCAGGGAAGCCCAGGCTTTCTTCAGGTGTAACTTAATGCATTTTTGATTCTAAGATAATAAATATGACATTTCATTGTGTTGCTGTAGGGAACTCACTCTCACAATTTCACCCCAAATGGTATTACCTTTCAACAATAAAGACAATCACCAGTGTCAGCAAAATGAAATTAGAGTCCTACATCACTTATGGTCTATACTGTTCATTTAAAACTTAATTTTATATGCAGCTGCAGTTTCATTAATCATTTATACGTCCATTTGTCTTTCAAACAAGCTGCTGCACAGAAGGGAGGCCATTGTTTACACCTAGCATACCCAGAACAGTAATGAGAACATAATGGTGAAAACCAATGACCTGACCAAAAGTAAACATCCTAAATCTTGTTAGAGTAACAGATCTTTCAGTTTTACTTTCCTCCCAAGTTTTGTGAGTGGTTTGCTAATCTAGATAGCAGGTGACAAAATTCAACAGGAAAGTGTCTTTTCAGTGAAGAGGAGGACGAGAAAGAGGGGAAAGAGAAGGAGAAGAAGAGTTGATATGTGCTGACCCCTTCCCAAGTCAAGAACTGCATGAGCTACGTTATTTTGTCTTCACAGCATCTCCATGATGTAGGCACGATTGTCATGCGGGTTTAACAAATCAGGAAACTGAGGCACTGGGAGGTTCAGGAACTTTCCAAAGCCAAATCGCTCACAAGTGGTGACAGATTCCAGAGCCTCTACTATGTTAAGCACCACGCTATAATACACCCTTAAAATGAAACATCCAACCAGCAAACCAACTCCTCTTTCTGTCCACTGTTGCACTGGCTTAGTTGTGAAATGGGCAGAAGGAGCTCAGAATGGCTCTCCAGAGGACAGTGAGAATATCCAGTCTCACACAGATCAAGGAGGTGGCATTGAAGGAAGTCAGACTGGATCTTTGATGCATCACAAGCAGAAGAGACCCTGAGTTGTCCCATAGGAGCCACTTTGGGGGGAAGGTATGGGGGTAATGATATCCTGATCATTTTACCGGCCTTAAGCAACATTTGATAGTTTTAATCTTTAAACTTTTGGTGGTGACAAGTCTAGTTACCTAAGGTGGTGGTCTACCACCATAAACTCAAGTGGAATTTTATAAATATTTATTTATTTGTTTTATTATTTATTTGGCTGCATTAGATCTTAGGTGTGGCATGTGGGATCTTTGCTGCATCACCTGGGATTTTTCTTTGTGGTGCTTGGTCTCAGTATCTGCAACATACAGGCCCAGCTTCTCCGATTCATGTGGGATCCTACTTCCCTGACCAGGGATTGAACCCAAGTCCCCAACATTACAAGGCGGACTCTCAACCGCCGAACCACCAGGGAAGTCCCTCAAGTGGAATTTTAGAATTAGAGTACACCTCACTAAGACCTCTTCATCACCAAATACACTGCCAGCAAAAATTTAACTAGTGTTCCACTGCGCTACTGGGGCAGATGTGGAGATAAGATGTCTGGATTCCCTGTCATGAAAGTGCCCTCTGCCTAGAGCCATCCAGCTGTTAGCTTTGTTGGGGTTTCCTTCAGCCTTTTACTCTGAGGTCCCGCCGTTTTCAGGGTGGACCCTGCTGTTGACTAAACAAGGTGGGGCTGCAGGTCTAACTGCTTTTGCCTGACACTGGACCCCTTTAAGGGACAGTCTGCTCCAGAGTTCCCTGCTGAGCTAGCAGAGATTTTGTCAGCTCTGCAGTGTGTTGTGACAGCTCTCCGCGCCCAATCCTTTGTGCTTTCACAGATGTTAACTCTCTAATAAAGCTCCTGCACTCATAATTTCATATCAGCATCTGCTTCCTTGAGAGCCCAACCTAGATAAGTATCAAGATGGTCAGTTGAAAGAAAAAACACCCAAAATGACTGTGAGTTAAGTTTTACCTGAGGAACTTTTGGAAGGCTGCAGCCCCGAAACAGCTTGTCGGATAGCTCTGAGGAGCTACTCAAGAGGGAAGGGAGGAGCCAGGATATGTATAAACTTTTTTTTGCTGGGAAAAAATATGTAGTCAAGCCTTAAAAGATTACTGCTAGTCACGAAGAACAGATAGCTCACATTAAAATTATCTTTAGTCTACCTAACTGTGTATGGGAAGTCTGGGGTCCTTTGAAATTTTTCTTAGATGTTCTTCTGAACTAAGGGCCAGTGTACCCAAAGCAAAGAATGTTTTCTGATGTTTTCAGTCCCGAATTCCCTTCAGGTCATACTCTAAGAGGGTATCTGTGGTGCTTAATGGCTTGATCCTTATAGAACTGAAATGTCGGCATTTTTTTTTTTATAAGATAGAAAGTGATGGGTCATCCCTGGTGATCCGGTGGTTAAGAATCTGCCTGCCAAAAAAAAAAAAAGAATCTGCCTGCCAGTGCAGGTGACATGGGTTCAATCCCTGGTGTGGGAAAATCCCACATGCAGCGGAGCAACTAAGTCCGTGAGCCACAACTACTGAAGCGTGTACGTCCAGAGCCTGTGCCCTACAACAAGAGACGCCGTGGCCCTGAGAAGCCCACACACTGCGACTAGAGAGTAACATCCACTCGTTGCAGCTAGAGAAAGCCCACGCTTAGCAGCAAAGACCCAGCACAGCCAAAAATAAATGAAGAAAATAGATAATTTTTTTTAAATAAAGTGATTGAACATTGTTATTATCAAAATTGTGTTAAATGACTGCAGCTGTTCTTTCATGTAATTGATATTTCATCTCCAGAATAACCCTAAGTACCCTCCGTTGTGATCCTTTTCTCATGGGGATGTATCTGTAGCCCTCCTGTTAAGAATGGCTTTGATTTTGTTCTTTGGAGTGATGCTGTCAGGCCAAGCCACAGGGCCCCTTTACCTGGACATACTTCCTACTGGGAATCCCTCTTATTCTTCCAGAAGCAGAGGAATTCCCTCCAGAAGTCAACCCAATTCTTATCCTCCTTGAAAGAAAGTGGAAGTGTTAGCCACTCAGTCGTGTCTGACTCTTGGTGAGTAGTCCGCCAAGACTGGACTTTAGCCATGGACTATAGCCCATGGGCTGTAGCCTGCCAGACTCCTCTGCCCATGGAATTCTCCAGGCAGGAATACTGGAGTGGGTAGCCACTCCCTTCTGCAAAGGATCTTCCCCACCCAGGGATTGAACCCAGACCTCCTGCATTGTAAGCAGATTCTTTACAGTCTGAGCCCCCAGGGAAGCCCTCCACATCCTCCTCTTATCTCTAACCAGGTATGCAGGATTTTTGTT